AGGTGCACCTGCCTGCTCTCCTCTCCCTTTCCCGCCTTCCCAGGTGCACCTGCCTGCTCTCCTCTCCCTTTCCCGCCTTCCCAGGTGCACCTGCCCGCTCTCCTCTCCCTTTCGTTAGCAGAATTTTGGCACTGGGAGGTGTGGAAGGGGGACTAGTGTGCAGTGTGAAATGCCCCGGTCAGAGGACCGATTCAGCTGTGTGACCCCCAGCCCTTTCTCCTGTGTCCCTCTCCTTTCTGAGTCGGGGCAGAAAACATCAGGACTAAGGCAGCTCTGAGGCCAGAGGCTTCCCATCTACATGGCCATAATAGGGTGCCCTCCGAGGAGACAGGAGATGGACAAGGAGACCCCAAAGAGAGACTACCTGCCTCCCAGTAGGGGAACACGAACTTAGCATAGCCTGTCCATGAAATTACCAGAGATGGAGCCTGTCCCCACCTGTCTGCATCAAGACAAGAATTCAGAGCTTTCTGATAAAAATGTGCTTTAACCTAAGCTTCCAAGATGGAGGCTCCACATGGACCCCTGCCCCTTCTTGTGGGTTCCCAGCCCTCTGCCCCGATGCACTTACCTACAACAGTGAGCTGGCTCCCCTCCCCAAAATGGAGGATGTTTCAAAAGCACAGCCTCCCAGATCCACTTCAAAACCTCCCCGTCTTCAGCTGGGATTCGGGGACAGATTGGTGCGTTCGTGGAACTCTTCCCTCCCAGAGCCACCAGCCCTGCTTCATATTTTCCCCACTCCCTTCCAGAGCTTGCCCAGATCCCTGGACAGTTGGAAACAAGGAGCCACACAGTGTGGCTTCCTATGTAATCCAGAGCGAGGAAAGTTAGGAAGCCCCTACGGAGAGTCCCAGTCCAAGAGGAAGACAGACCTATGTCAGCGCTCGTTAATTGCCCTCTGGGCTTTCTCTAGGCTTCCCTCTGTCAGAGAACTACTCAGAGGGGCAGTACCATCTCCTTTTCCTCCTCTGCCTTAACCACTGAGGCTCAGCTCTGAGTTTACAGAGGACCCCCCGGTGGCTGGGTGGATTTGCCCTGACCGGGACCCTCCCACGTACTGGTTCCCAGAAGAGGAGATGACATCTCCTTAACCAGGACCCAAGACCTGGGCAATCCCTTCCCTCCCCCATCTCCCAGGATAGAATCCTCCCCATCACACCCTCCCTGGAGACCTCCCCACCTTACCAACAACTGTCAGCTTGGTCCCTGGGCCGAAGGTAAAATCATACACATCAGCACACGGCCACTCTAAAAATGGACACTTTGGACCTACTTTCACCTACAAGGGGCCTGGAAAGACCCAGCGTATGTCTTACCTATTACCGTGAGCCTGGTGCCTTCTCCAAAGAAAAGTTCAGTGTTCACACAGTGACATGGAGCAAGGAAGCAAACAAGTTTGAGGCATGGAAAGAAGAGGCGGCCCTGGTTGGTCTCTGGAGGACTGTGGTATAAGAAATCCCCTCCTGTGCTTTATAGACATTGCACAGAAGAGTATTTCCAACTTTGACTCTTGGGGCCGCAGAGCATGGCCAGCGTCTATCCAGTGGGCCCCACACTACTTTCTCAATTCTTTCTGAGGGTCCATCAAAAGGACGTGGGTCGAGAGAGAAGCAGGCAGGGTCCTGGAGACAGTGACCAGGTCCATGGATGGCTGGGATATTTTTGGCTTCTTCTTCTATAGGATGGGTCACCTTCCATGCACCTTCCCACTGGCCTTGCCCTGAGTTCTGTGGGGCTTAGGATGAAGGAGTTTCCCGGAGTCCTTCACCCGAGGGGTCACTGAGGCCTTCTGCTTACACCTGGGCTCTCTGTCTGCAAGCTTCAGTCCTGATCTAAGCCTGTCCTTATCCATGGTCTTGGCTTGACAGGTGAATAGGGGTGGGATGGAGGCATTCTGACTCGCACCACCCTCGGGCCCGTGACTCAGAAGAGTGGAGAAACTGGGGTTGGGGACAGGCAGAAAGGTTTTTGTAAAGCTTTCTCATAGAGTTGAATCACCGTGGCCCCCTGTCCCCACAATGGTACAGCTTCGTACAAAAAACGACCCCTCCCATGGTTCTGCCCATCAGAGTCTGGAAGAAACCACCCGAGCAGCTGCTCCTTCCAAGGCATTGGAGGGCAGGTCGGTGACATCACTCCCCATGTTGTGAGGTGGTGGCAGGGTACAGATGAGGCCGGGAGCGGGGGCGCCCTCCTCACCCCCATGCCCTTTCTTCAGGACACTCTTGGCTCCCCAGAGCTGTGTGTCTTTGCGAGGCCAGTTGGCACAAGGGCTAGTTTTCCCTGGTATCCGCCCCTCTGTAAACTCATCACTCATTGTGGGGAGACACCCTCCCAAGAAGAAGCAGCCTCCTTTCTACCCAGAGCCTGCCCCTGAGACTGTGTCACTCAGAGGCCACACCTTTCATCTGGGAATGGGATCCTTCAATACTCAGACCGTCCCTTTGGCCAACTCTGGACCTCTAGGGCGGTCTGGAGGGGAACTGACATGAGCTACTCAGGGGTAGGGCTCCCTAGATAGAGACAAAACGACAGCTGAGAGCTCAGAGTATTTCCAAGGGGTTGCTGTGTGGGGGGACTGGCGTGTTGTCAGCCCGCCTCTCTGCTCGTGGACTTCAGACATCAGGGTTAGGAAAAGGGAGCCGGGGAAGTGGATGTGGAGAGAGCTGCATACATAAAGTCACAGGAACACTCAAATGTAATCACGGTCACTGCCTTCCCCTCTTTTCCCTGAGGGGCAGACACATTTAAGTTGCTGTCGATGTTGTATTTTCCTGCACAAGATGACCTTGAAATGTAACCTCCAGTTGAGTGGCCTAAATCTCATTTCACTCGATGGTGCTTCCTTTTATTGCCTTTCAAACTCTAACTTAAAATCTAGAAGGAAAAAAAAAAAGGACAGACTTCATTACATAATGATGACACACTTTCACGGAAAAATATACACAGAATCAAAAAAGAAATGACAATATGGAAAGAACATCTGCAATCCTCATCCTAAGGGCTGATCTCCCCAGTAGATGATGAACTCCTAGAAATCAGTAAGAAAATAATGCAGCAGCACAACGAAAGTGGCAAAGAACAGATGGTTGAGAGAAAAAGAAATGCAAAGGGTGCTTCACCATAGGGAAAAAATCTTGCAGACAAAAACTGCATCAAAATATCTGTTCACCAATGTTATTGACAACATTGAATTAGGGAAGACCATTAGCTAGTGTGTGGTGGAATATACACTTCACAAAAAATGATACAACCTAAGTGGGGACCAATTTGGAAATATCTATGAAAATTACAAATGCATTTACCTTTTCACCTGGAAATCTCTCATCTGGGTGTTTATCCTATAATTATTCTTGCATACAAGTAAAAAAAATGTAAAATATTTGCATTATCTGGGGTAGCAAAAAGATCAGGAAAACTCAAGTACCCAATCAGGAAGGGACTGGATAAATCACCTGGGATACATCCACAAAATGGAATATTATGCAATGTTAAAAAAGAACACAAATGTTTCCCTGCTGTGGGAAGGTAAGATATGCTGTTAACCGTAAGAAAAGCAAGCTGTGGATTCGCATTTCTGTGCACCACCTTTTGTCCCGCAAACGGGGAGCATAAGAATTATACATTTGTTTGCTTGGTTCTGCACAAAGACACACTAGAAGGATACAAAAGAACTTGATCAAGGTGATTGCTTATTAAGACAGTGGAGGAGACAGAAACAAGATAGAAGTAAAAATAACATTTTTAGTTTCAACTTTATTGTTTCCATTTTTGAGCCATGTAGCTATCCTGACTATTTAAAATAAAACTTAATAAAAATTTTCAAGAAAATACCAACAAAGTTGTATGGTGATTAACACAACAATAAAAAATTAAAAGAAAAAAGAAAATACCAACAAAGTATTGCTTTAAGTAATATTTTGAAATGGGCTACTTAAAAAAACCTACTTGTTTCATTTACAAAATCATTATTTTTCCAAAGAAGATCAGCTTATGTAAAAGATGTGTTATGGTCCTGACTTTGCTTATCGGGGTCTCCAATCACTCAAGAAGCTTGTGAAAAATGCATATTTCTGAGTAGTCCTCAGGATCTTTTGCGTTACAAATCTCTAGTAGTGGGTTTATTGATATGCATTTAAATAAACAGTCAAGCACAAAATTACCCTGGGTATTTCCATTTTGGCATGGGGCTTGGGACCCACTGCTTGCCCCTCGGGCAGGTGTCAGTCGTGGAGAATGTCAGAACGCTATCTGGTGGTGCCACGGGCTGGGTGCAACAACGTGGCTCCTAGAATTTAGGGAAAAAAGAAAAAGAGAGATAGTCTGTGCATTTTACTCAGGAATAGTGACGGATCTCACAACACTCTGCCATTGCCTGGATAAAGGGTCATTGATTGCTTTCAACAAGTGGAAAGTGGCGAGCTTCTTCTTTAGTCCTTTCCCACCTTGAGGAACACTTTCATCAATGTAATGATTTATTTTGATCTATTTCCACATATTTTCCTGTCCCGTTTACCCCTTTGTTTGTCAGCAATTTACTCTCTAAGTAAGTTTCCTTTTGACCACCCCTCAACCCAACTGGCCTTACAAAGAATACCACTCTGTCTTGGTGTCACAGCTACTTTCAATCCTGATGGAGTTTGTCCCATCTCTGCTACTCAGTCACACTGTCAATCTGCCCAGGAGCACGCGCAGCCTTTCTTTTTTTCCCTTGTAGGAGGAGTTAGTCAGGTGTCCGGTGGGATCGTTCATCATCTTGGGCAGCAGGGGGCAGCCTTTCCTTATTTATTTTAGACCTAAATCGTTGCCATCTCGGGGTGGCCACTTGAGGGCGTGAGAAGAATGTGGTTGGTGCTGGATGGGGGGACCCCCCCCCGCCACTCCGCAGGGGGAACTGTGTTACCTTCATGCCTTTCTCGAGGCTGAGACCTGGGAAGGAGATACACAAATTGCATCTCACGTGTGTAATTCTTGCAACTATTTTTAAAAAAGATTTTAAAATTTATTTTAGAGAGAGAGAGAGAATGTGCATGAGGGGAGGGGCAGAGGGGAAGCCGACTCTCCGCTGAGCCTGGAACCCCGCCCAGGGCTCCATCTCCCGACCCTGAGATCATGACCTGAGCCGAACCCACCAGTCAGAGGCTTAACCGACTGAGACACCCAGGTGCCCCTTCTTGAAACTTTTGGACCACATTCATAGATTCATTTAAAAGCCAAATTTGTCTTCTAATTTCCTCAGATGAAACTGCAACCTGAAGAGGCTAAGTGAGTTGTTCCTGTCATGGGACATGATTGACATGACAGAGCTGGAACCAGCACCCGGGCCTCCGTGTTTAACTTCTGGGGCTCTGGTGGGGCCACTGAGGCTCTGCCCCTCAGGGAAGCCCACCTCCCAGGGCCAGACTCCCTGGGTCTCCAGTCCTGTCGGTGAGGCCCAGGGCGAGCTGCTAAGCCTACCTTAGGGAGTTATGGAGAGATCTAAATCAGATAATACACATGAAGCTTCCTTCTGGTCCCTGAAAATAGTGAAAATGTGAGTGGCCGCAGCTTCCACAGAGACCACTGGCCGAAGGATACCCCCGCTGCAATGGCTCTTGGGCTTCTGTGTGCATCAGAACGATGTGGAATTCTTGGAAAATGCAAGTGGCCGGGCTCCATCTCAGAATTTCTGACTCAGTAGGTCTGGGTCAGAATTGGCACTGTTGAAGATCTGAAGGAATTTCACAGCTCCTAAATTCCCAGATGATTCTGGTGCCCCCAGGGCCAGGGGCCACACTTGGAGAACCAGTGTCCTGGAAGGTGCTTTCTTTCTTCCATACATTCTCCTCCAATCCCAGCTCATACTTTAATCATTCAACCATTCCACCACTGCCTAGTATATTGTAGGCATTGTTTAATCGCTAGATATGCCAGGACGAGCAAGACAAGATTTCTTGCCCAAGGAGCTCACCATTGGGGGCCAGGTAGATGCATGCACAGTTACTGGGCTGCAGGAGCAGGACTATGGCAGCGGTAAGCATCCTCAGGAGGGGGACTCCTCGCTCGGACCAGAGCACCAACAGGGCCAGCACAGGAGCGGAGAAGGAGGATCCCAGGGCAGAAGGCATCAGAAATGACTCTTCTGCAGAGCGTGAAGGGGCAGGTGGGAAGGGCGTCAAGCCAGATGGGCCAGTAATGCCCAGGGCTAAAGATACGAGGTTCATGGCTTGTTGAAGGAGCCCCTGGGATCTCGGAGCACTGGAGCAG